CCCGTCTAGGTCAAGGGTGCCGACACCCCTGACCGCCTCCCTTTCAGCTGGAGGAACGACTTTGATCATAGACTTGGCCACTTCGACCAAGTCAGGCTCCTGAGGGCCGGCTGCATCAAGCATAAACAAACGGATTAGACCTAGTAAAGGAGGGAGCAAGTCTAAAATTTACAAGGACAATTTCATACTTCTAGGTGGCCCAGCTGGAGTTTTAGAAGAAGTGGTCGGCTGTTTCTCAGCCGCCACATGTTTCCTGGCAGAACCAGGAGAGCTCGCAACAGTCGTCCTCCGGGCCTTGTGGTCCGGCTGTTGGGAAGAAGAAGCTCTTGGAGCGCCCGTCTAAAAAAGAAGAAAAGAGTCAGTATATGCATAAACACAACTCCAAAAAGAGGGTGAAAGGTTCGAAGCCCACCAAGGGTGCCCCCTTGTTGGGGGAGTCAGTTGAAGACTGTTACATGATGGAGGCCCACAACATGGCCGCCGCAGTCTTGGAGGCGGTAATTTTGCTCATGGCGTCCGCTGCAAAAACAAATAGCAAAGTTAATAAAAGTCATAACAAGAAATGCATGGAAAAATAGAGTATTCGACAGGCCGGCTACCTCTTGAGCACCGACTGCTGAGGCCACAGGCGGCCAAAAAGTACTCGTCGTAGAACCATTTGAAGCTCGGGACGCAGTGCAGGGGTACTTGCTCTCGTACCCCTGAAGTAGAGTTCACCTTTGACTCTACTTTGAAGAGTCCTTTATCTAGGATCTCTTTCTTAGCCTTGGGGGGAACAGACGGCATGCTGCGGCTGCCTGCAAGAAGGGGAGGAATCCTGTTCCACCTGTTGAAGCGCTTGTTCAGCTCTGTGTCTAAACTCTCAATGATAAGGAAGGTGCTCCGCCAGTCCTTCCATTTGTTTGCTTTACCTCTCGTCATGAGGTAGCCCCTGTGGCTCGTCAATTGATACCAGCCTGTACCGCCTACCTTAGGGGTCCGGCTGGGGTAGTTCATGTGGGCGAAAGCCTCGAAGTTCAGCTCCACCCCGTGCAGTTCGCACCCGGCCACATAGCCGAGTACGTTGACCCAGGAGTTCGGGGCTAACTGCCATAACCCCAACTCATACCCATCCAAGATCCGCTGAACAACCGGATGTAGTGGGAAGCGCAGCCCAGCCTTGATGGCCGCCTCGTAGCAGCCAAAGCAGGCGCCATCATAACTGGTACCAGCCGGCCAGACGACTGTGTCTTCTGGATCCGGCACGAACACTAAAAAGTCGGGGCCCATTGTGTGGTTTGCGATAAAGCTCTCCACTTTCTCTTGCATGGCCGTGATCCGACCCCGAGGTACCGTGCAGTAGTAGGGGGTATTTTGCTCTCGGTGAGAAGCGGATGGCTCCGCCCAATCGTCCCCCTTCTCAACTGCGTGAGAAAGCCTCGCCTCTTGTAGGCGAATGTTTTTCTCTTCTGTGTCCAGAGAAGCATGACCAGAAGAGCTAGACTCGGAATCGTCCTCTGACGAGTCCGAAGAGGACGACTTCTCCCCTCTCCCGGAGGGGCCCGCCTCCTCTACTTTAAAAGGAGCAGGAGAGAATGTAGAATTGTCAACTGTAAAATGGGAAGGGGTCACTTTGACTCCTCCCTCAGAACTGCCGGCTTTCAAGCCGCTTTGTTTCACTTCCACATCTGGCGCTTGGTCAGATGTTTCACTAATTGGCACCCTGTGGGAGGAGCCGTCTGAGTTTGAGATCCTGGAAGTCTTTTTTGTTCTGGCCATCATGCTCTGCATAGACACAGATACAGTCGGACTTTGTATAAAGGGCAAAGATGGGTCCAGAAAAGGGCAGGCGGCACTCCTAGTCCTAGATTCAGCCGTCCCCGGTGACCGGCTGATCACTAACCTAGGTCGTGTCGTGTGCTTCCGTGGTGCCATTTCAAAAAAGAATAAAGTAAAGAGAAAATTAAGAGTAAGAGAACCGACGGTTACCTGAACGAGTGACGATTGATAAAGTTCTGAAAATCCTTTGCAGTCGGCTTGTCAGAGCAGGCGGTAGGCAGAAAGGGTCCAAAATGTCAGAGCAAGTTCAAGGGTCCGAATGTTCTCTCACAAAGTTTTTTTCAAGTGTGAAAATTACCGAAGTCAACACTCCTTTATATAGGCGAAGTGAGAAGGCGAAGGGTCACTTCCAGAATTCAAAATTTTGGCGGGAGAATCTCTCGGCCTCTCGCCGAGTGACACCTATAGCAGGTCGTCGCCTGTTACAGGACGATACCTGTCACAGGTAACACGTGACCAGTCACGTGCCACCTGTGAGGGGCAAATGATTAGGGGATTTTGCTCCCACCAATCGGAATGTGCCACGTGGGCCAATCAGGTCCTGCCAAGTGTCCCCCGGTTGGACATCTCAGAGCTTGCCACGTGGCACACGCTTATTCTTCCACCCTGGACTTATTATGTCATGACACGTGGCATACTCCATGCCTAATGGAGAAGCCGGTCACCTAGGCCCAACTTCCGAGGGAAGCCCAATCAGCCCAAGGTTAACCTAAACCTAGTTTGGCACGTTTCCCGAGGTTATAAATACCTCCCTTAATCCTCATTAAGGGAGAGGACGCGAACAACGCAGATTACACACATTAAACACTCTCACCTAGAGAGACCCAATCACTTTAATTTCCGCATTAATTACTCCTTAATCAAGTACTAACTTGACCGTCGGAGGCGGATCTCCAACCATCCGGAGCATCTGTTTGTTTTGCAGGTACAGGCGTCCGGTTCCAGTCTCGGAATTGTAACTCTCCCGCAGGACATCAGAAAACCCCGAAACACATGCTACTACTTCATCACTTAAATCATACTTTACAATCTTAGCATGATACTACCCATACACAAATATTCTTGTGCACATACGTACCTCGATTAGTGCCTAAACTCGGTCACACTCGCTAAAAATCACTTACCTCAAAGCTTCCTACAAATAAGAATACATAACTATAATTAATCCACTACTCTCATAAATTTTCAGCAACTATAATACTCTTTAGACCTTACTAATTAACCCAATTTAATGGTATAAAAGACATAAAACCTTTTGTTTAAGTGGGTACTTTAAATCCTTTCAAAAAGACTTAGTTTTTGTGACTTAAATAAAATTCCAGCATACTTACTTAATATAAACTATCACTAATAGACTAGGAATTCTTGTTTAAATCATTAAAACATTTTTCCCTTTTATGGGCAATCAATTATTCTAACACCATAATTAAAAAGTAGTGTGTATAATTAAATTCCAGCATTAAATTGAGGGTTTTAAACTCATTAGAAACATGTTGAAACTATTAATTTAACAATCACAACAACCTAGGATCAAACCCTAGCTAACCATAAACATTAAATTCCCAAATTCTAGGGTTTGAAAATTGGAGTTTTTGATTAAATTAAAATCTGAAAATTATAGGAATAATTTAAAAACATCAAATACCTAAAATCAATACCAAAACATAACAAAAAATCATGCTTTAAAATAATAAAACAACTAGAATTAAATTAGGAGAAAACAAGAGCTTTTTTTTTAATTTTTTAAATTTGTTTTTCATATAACAATACCGAAGAGAAGGAGGAGAGAAGACGAGTGGTCGGCTGGTGGTCGCCGGCTGCTACTGCTAGCCACCGGCGGTCGTCGATGGTCGGCGGTGGCGCCGGTAGCTGTCAACCGTGAGGGGAAGAGAAGACGGAGATAGAGGCATGGGAAAGGAGAGAGGAAAAGAGAGGAAAAATGAGGGAGAAAATAGGAGGAAAACTTTTGGGGTTTTTGTGAAATATGACATTTATGATTTTAGAGTGTAAAACTCTTGAGGTTTTAAAATATTTATACTCTCTTTTTAAATAAAACACTTATTTACAAAACTGTCATTACTAATCCTACTACCCCTTAACTTCTCCTTTGGGGCCAACTTATTGGGCTCTTAAGTGTTCATGAATTTCCAATAAGTTAATCCATCAATTTAATTGATGTTGACCCAAACTAAAAACACTTTATTGCCTCAATTAATGACTCATATTATTTTATACACACTTACTTAATATTTAAATAATTAAATTCTTTTAAAATGTAATGAATCAATTTAATTTATAAATAAAATAAATAATATATATATATATATTATAAAAATACGGAGTATTACAACATGTTTGCAATCCAAGATATAACTAAGTTAAGTATAACATTGGGATCTGATAAAATATTGAAGGACACATAATTTATGTTTAACATATGCTATTTTTAAATTAGTTTTTAGCATCAATTTTATTATTATATTAAAATTGAATATCATTTTTCAATTTTACGTTTTTTTTTTTAATTTTAATTATCATTCAATAATTATGTGTATATTTTTTTTTTGTTGATTATGATACTTTTTTGGGATCTCATCTATTGATGATTAATTTTTTAATCTAAAGAACATCCGTAATATTAATAAAAAAAACATGATAATACTATATAATGAATATTATTTATATTTACCAACCATGATCAAAAAACAAAATTGAAAGAACATTATTTCATAATAAGTAATGAACATTATTGATAGTAAAAGTAAATTACACTTACAATCAAAGAACATGAACATTTAAAATAGATTATCAAATGATCTGTAAATTCTTTTCATTTTAATAGTATCTTCTTTTTTACTCCCGCTAGCTATATGTTCATTACATTTTTGTAATATGTTCTTTCCATTTTTTTTAGATTGGATGTATGTATCATTTGCATGGTACATCCGCCTATATGAACTAGGGATCATTGAAATGTCACGCTTTACAATGCGTATTTTATAACTTAAATTTTTTAAGTTATATTTATTCTAGTAAAAATTGTAAAAACTAATAAAATGAAAGTATATTTCAATACAAATTTAACACAAAATATAAATCACACAAGGCAATTAAAGAAGTTTGTGTGAATAGTATAAAATTTCAAACGTTACGATTAAAAAAAATAAAAATGGAGGAAGTAGTATTAAACAACTGTTAGACTTTATAGTACTTAACAAAGGAGGGTACATATATATATAGACGACATGCTTATTAACGTTACATAAATTTAAAGAAGCTTAATTGCATTTTATGCATGCATGCATGTCAATCACAACGCAAACTAGATAGCTTCATCACTATTTTAGTTGTTGATTTTTTCTTTTGGTGTGTAGTGACCACCATACCCGCCATCTCCATATCCACCCGTAGAACCATCATACCCACCTTGACCATATCCGCCGTCTCCGTATTCACCGCTAGAACCACCATACCCACCATAATAATATCCACCCTTAGAACCACCATATCCACCATGACCATATTCGCCCATAGAACCACCATACCCACCATGACCATATTCACCACCTGAGCCACCATACCCACCGCTCGAACCACCGTATCCACCTTGACCGTATTCTCCATGACCATATCCACCTTGGCCATAACCACCATCATGGCCATAAGCCTCTGGCTTTACATCCTCCTTTACAGCCATCACTTCTTTTGGTAGGTAGTGCCCGTAGTGGACACCATGTCCGTAGTCACCATGGCCATAGCCCCCGTGTCCATAAGCAGCTGGTCCTTTTCCGTAATCGCCATGACTGTGTCCACCTAACTCCTTTGCGAATTCTGCAAGCACCAAGAGCGAAATTGAAAAAAATATGTTATTACGCATATGATAATTGATAAGTATTGATTTAGGGAAAATTCAAGTTAAGCGCACCGTTTAATTTATAGTTATTACCCTAAAAAATTGTCCAAGAAACAACTCACAAATTTAAATTAAGTATTGAAGCTTAGGATTGGTTTGATAAGAACAAACAGTGGCGGAGTAATACCCCTCATAATTATTTTAAAATAATTTAACATACTACTCATACCAACAAGATGCATCTTTTTTTAAGAAGTTCTTATGCTAAGATACTTCTCACTTAAGCGTGCTTGACTGGGAGTAGTTTTAGGATGGGTGACCTCTTGAAAAGTATTCCTAGGTTGGATGTGCATTTCATGACAATAGACCCCACCTCGATTTGCATAATTGGGGTCGGGATGTTACAAAATGGTAGGGCACTGTACCTTCCGAAAATCCATTTATTAAGCCCTTAAAATCCGTCTCCTTAAACTTTTTAATTTCAAAATAAAAATTAAAATATCAAGACACAACTACGTACCGTGAATGTTTCTTAATATGAAGATTTAATTATTTTATGTATTATTCTAAAATCCATCAAATGTTACCCCGTCAGCCTATTCAAGACTTTAAGTAATGACCCATTTTAAAAATCTTCTTCTTACGGGTTCGGAATCACTAAATATATTATCAATTATAAATAATAATTCGAGTGTCCATATGTTAAAAAAAATATTACAAACATAATACAATCAAACTAGAAAAAAAATGTATTGTTAGGCAAGTGAATTGATGAACGCGTAACCTTTGATGAAAAAACCAAGAGTCTAACCACTAGGCTACTAGTAATTTGGATTATAATTAAGCACTCTATATTTATTTTTATTTTTTTTGGGTTTGTGGTGACCTGGTAGGGCACGCGCCCCACCAGGTCCTAAGTTAGCTCCGCCAATACGAACAAATCTTTTCTTTTTTTTCCTTCTTTTTTTTAAGAAAAAAAAAAATAAGAACGAACCTTTGTTTTGTTTTCGTTTCATTTAATGCTATCTTTTTTTAAAACAAAAAAATTTATTTATAAATGTATCTTTTGATGCTTGCTAAACAAAAACTTCTTGAACGTTAATGATGAAACTACAAAGAAAGAAAATACTTACGAGTCGTTTCAGTAGTAGAGGTAGACTCTGTTAGTTGATGAGCTGAGACCATAGAGGAAATCAAGACAACAAAAGAAAAAAGCCCTAGAAGGAGAAAAGCTTTAGAGTAGGCCATTTTTATGAAATGCTCACAAGTTAACACTCAATTTTTCTCGATGAATTGCTTTGATATGAAAAGTGTGCTAAGGTGATTTCTATTTATAGGAGAACAATAGTAAGTAAAATAATACTCGTATAATAATGTTGACAAATCGTCAATTCATGTAAGATGGCGGAACGTAGCTATTGTTGGAAAATGGTTCATAAAATAAGTTAGCATTATTAGTCAATCCACCGAAGAGTTAGTACCTAAATATTCTCCTAATTAAAAGTTACATTTATAACTTAGTTGTAGTGCTTGAGTTAAGTCAGTATTAATGGAATAAATCATGGGGCATGTTTATCAGCCTAGAATTAGTGATTTCTACTTCGTACAATTTATGACATTAATATATCACAAATTTTAAAAAAAAAAACCGGTGTTCATTAATTTAATGAATGGCGGAATTTTTGGACAAGCATCAACTGCCAATTTAGTGGGTTTGGCACGTGCTTCCTAATGATTGCCAAAATAAAGAAAGAAATAGAACTTTTCTCTCTTCATTCATTCACTATAGCTTTCTCTCTCTTCGTTTTTCTCTCTCTAAAAAGCAAGTAACTGGCGATTTCAAGCGTTTTCTCTGTTCTCCATTGTTGATTTTCGAGCTTTTTCTTTCTTCTTTTTCACTGGTGAAGTTGTTATTTGCTTAATTCAGGTTCGTTTACTTATTTTTTTGAGATTTTTGTTAGTTTAAATTGTTTTGATTCTTCGATTTTTAGGTTTTTTGATTTTGATTTTGTTTTTGATTTTCGTAGTGTTGATTCTGCAATGGTGAAGAAGAAGATTACAAAGAAGGTTGTAGATGCTGAAGAAGGTGTGTTTACTTAAATTTTCATCATTTTTTTCAAATTTTTCAATTGAAATTTCGCTTATATATGTCGAATTAGTAGTGCATGTTATTTTTTATAGTTTTCAGTTGATTTTTTATGCATATTATGATAATTGAATTTGAATTATGAAGTTATTATGTTTAATTTTGCTTTATTTTATTGTTCATTGTATATAATTGATTCAAAATTTTGCTTATTATTCTTCAAATTTTGTATGTTAGGTTTTAGTCAGAGAATGCTAATTAAACTAATTATTTGTTTAGGTTTTATGTTTTAGTTAGATTATGTGTATAATAGGCATATTCGCATTGTGTTTGTGCATCTGTGTTTGATTAACATGCATATATGCATTGCTCATTGTGTTTGAGTAATAGACATGTGTGTCATTTATATGTTTTGACAATGTTCACTTTATGATGTTAAAAGGGTGACTTTATGCTGTTAAAAGAGTCATTATATGTTGTTAAATGATTAACTTTTTCAGTTAAAAGGGTCACTTTTTGAAAAAAAAGGGTCACTTTTTGCATATAAAAGGGTCACTTTATGCATACAAAAGGGTCACTTTATGCTGTTAAAAAGGTCACTTTATGCTGTTAAAAGGGTCACTTTGTGATGTTAAAAGGGTCACTTTGTGATGTTAAAAGGGTCACTTTATGCTGTGAAAAGAGTCAGTGTATGTTGTTAAATGAATAACTTTTTCAGTTAAAAGGGTCACTTTTTGCATATAAAAGGGTCACTTTATGCTGTTAAAAGGGTCACTTTATACTCTTAAAAGGGTCACTTTGTGATGTTAAAAGGGTCACTTTGTGCTGTTAAAAGGGTTACTTTGTGCTATTAAAAGGGTCACTTTATGCATTTAAAAGTGTCATTTGTGCACATTATTCTATATTTTTCCATGAGTAATTTCTGAATTTGTATTTATATTACTTTAATAATAAAATACAGGTGGTTCAATAGGTGGTTATCGTTATAAAAAGCCTACAAAAGGAAAAGGAAAGCCTAAAGAGCCTGCTAAGCCTAAACCAGTACCAAAAAAGACCCAGATAGCTCCTGAGAAGAGCAAAGCAGTATCTAAAAAGGCTGGGAAAATTCCTGAGAGTGACAAACCAGAGTCTGAGAAGGCCAAAATAGTTCCTAAGAAGGCCAAAATTGTACCTAAGAAAGCTAATACAGTGGAAGATTCTGATTATGAAATGCTTTCTGAATCTGATTCTGAATCTTTTATGTAAGTATACATATTTTTTTATTACATTTTTAATTATATTTTGTTTTTATTTTATATTGTTTTAGTTACATTTTCTTTCTTTTTTTTTTCTATTTAGGGAGCAAAGAAGAATCATTGCAAGATGTAGACCCTATTCATTGGAAATATTGCTGCAGAACTTTAGTCCTGAGCAAAAACAGGTTGTTGAAGAAATTGGTTTTGGAGGTTTATTACATCTTAAATTGAAAACTCTTAATCGTCAAATGCTACCTTGGCTTGTTCAAAACTTCAATGCTAGTAGCTGCATGTTTACCATCGCTACTGGTAAAGAATTTGTTGTTACTAGAAATGATATATGCGATGTGTTTTGCTTGCCTTTGAGTGATATTTGTGTTCCTGAACTTAATAAAAATTCTGAAGATGAAAGTGTAGATAAACGTATCAGTCAGGCATGGAGATCTGATTATGGTCTTTCTGGTAAGCAGCCTCTTCATTTGTCAAAATTGGAGTCTAGGATGGTTGATTTGGTTGATGGAGGGGAAGAATTTAAGAGGTGTTTTGTTCTTCAAGCTATGTCTAGCTTTTTAGCTCCTACTACTAATAGGACTGTTTCATTGAAGTTGCTGAAAGCTGTTGAAAAAGTTGATGAAATTAAAACTTTTGATTGGTGTTCATATGTTTTAAAAAAGTTAAAGAAGGCTGTTCAGAAATATAAGATGATGAAAATGCTCAAAATGTTAGTGGTTGTTTGCTGGCTTTGCAAATTATGTATTTTCATCGTCTAAATTTTCAAGGTGAAAAGGAAAGTAGTACTCTTCCTTTAACTCAACATTGGACGGATGTAAAGATTAAGAAGCGAATTAAGTTAGAGATCAAAGCTGGTGGTTATGGGCAGGGACCATTGGATACTATTACATATCTTGTGTCACAGCTTAATTTTAGGGGAACTGTTTTTAAGCCAGCTCCTACTTTGGGTTATGATAAGGGTCCTTCTACAAGTGGTACCACTGGTCGCATTGTTGCATTTGAGCTTCCAGAAGGTATTATGACCGATGAAGAAATTAAAAAAATTTCAACTAATGTAAGTGTTCTGTTTTCTTATATGTTTAGTTATTATTGCTTTTTGTTTACAAAAGTTATCCTTTTTGTGTACAAAAGTTAATCTTTTTGTGTACAAAAGTTACCCTTTTTTGTGTACAAAAGTTACCGTTTTGTGTACAATAGTTACCCTTTTGTGTACAAAAGTTACCCTTTTTGTGTACCAAAGTTACCCTTTATTTGCACCGAAGTTACCCTTTAGTTGCATTAAAGTTATCTTCAATATTAAGTTAAAAGGGTTACTTTATTCATACAAAAGGGTAACTTTTTTCATTTAAAAGGGTCAGTTTATGCATTTAAAAGGGTCACTTTTAGCATATATTTAGATTTCCTACTTATTTTATTATTTTTATTTGTAACATTTTTTTTTCATTGTTCATATGTTTGTAGGTTGTTCATGAAACGTTTCTTTTGTTTAAAAGAAATATGGATGTTTTATTATTTGTTCAGTCAACTGGTTTTCAAACCTTGAATGATCTGATTACTTCTCGCAGAAGTGTTTCATTATCTTCTGATGATTTTGTTTCAGTTTCTCAAACTGAACTGCTACACTCTAATCCTCATTATTTGAAGATTTTAGATGGTTTAATTGATGAGTGTAATAAAATGAAGTCTGTACATGATATGTTTCGCGGTTTTTATGAACCTACAGAAGGTAACAAAGATTTTGTTCCTGAAAAAGAACCTACACAAGGTTTCAATGAAAATATTCCTAAGGATGATGACAATGGTCATGGAAAAATAGTTAATGAAGGCCTTAATGGTTCTGGACCTTCTGCTATCATTCCTGGTCCTACTCAAAATATTCCTGTCGGGCATATTGATCAAAATGAACCTCCTCGACTCAGAGCAAATAAATCTCTATGCTCTCTGGACTGTGGACATGTAGGTGTGCAGGTGCCTTTTGTAACTCTTTTTGTAAAGAGCAATGCTCGGATTTTCAAGAATTTGCCTCAGTTACATTTGGAAATTCTCGATTATTGTTTGCTGAAGGATGTTTCAATGGATAAGAAGTTAAGTGTCCTTTTTTATTATAATTATTTTTTTATCTGTTTTTTTTCTTTTTTTTTTTAATGTTGATCTTATTTTTTATTGTTTCAGTGAGAGCCTTGCTACTTTTGGAATGAACTTTTTAATTCCAAGAGAAGACATGGTGTCCCTTGTTGCTCCACTCAGGATTCGATGGTGCGTTATTGATTGCTTCTGTCTGTATTTGAATGAGAAAGCATGTTTTCAGGCTACTGGTCCTCGGAAATTCTTCTTCAGTGTTAGGCAGAGTGTAAGTTATTTCATTCCTTTTTTTATATCTTAACACATTTACTTTATATATATATTATTGAGATCTTATACTTTAATAGTTTTCATTCTTGCATGTTTGTGACAATATTGGCAAAGGTAACATATCTAGTGCTGTTAAGGATTTGCACGACATATGGGAAGGTTGGGTTAGCTATGAGAATCTAGAATGTAATATAATGGATGCTGATCTGGTATTTTTATTCTAAACTTAATGTAATAAATTTAAAAGAGTTCTCTTTATGATATGCTCTGTTTAAATCTCTTTAATTTTGCTGTTTCAGATCTATTTTCCTGTTCTTATTGAGAATCACTACATTTTGTATGTTATTGATCATACAAAAGAGTTGGTATATTATCTTGACAACATTATCTAGACTGATTCTGCTCTTGTTTATACAAAAGAATTGTGTTCAAAGAGGGTATGTTTATGTTTGTTTTTTTTTGTTATGTTACTGTTGATTCATTGTTTCCATTTTAACTTTTTTGATTTTAATGTATTCTAAACTTTTATATTTTATGTCAGTGTGTTCAAATGGGTGCTTTTCTTGGCAAAAGAAATCATCCAAAGAGTTCTCAGCTACCTTCTTATGGTTTTGAAGTTGTTGAGTTGGAATGGAGAAAAGAAAAAGTTGACAAATTGAACTGTGGGGTCTTTGTCATGTATCACATGCTCCATTTTGTTGGTGAATCGTTCAAATTCAATGATCTCAAAACAGTAATTATCTGTATAGTTTCTGTAGTTTTTTCCTTTCTATTGCTTTTATTAATTACATATTGATAATTTTTATTTTTTTTGCTGTTTTGAGATTAATGGAAGGAAATTTTTACGAGGAGAGATCTGTACCACACTGGTACTGTGTGATTTGAATGAATCTAGGAACGATGTGTTGTTAGAATTACACAAGTTCAATGAGAAGAAGAAAGATCCTGCTTATGTCAATGGAATTAAAGAAAGATTAAAGGCTGCAATTGCTGCAAAGAAGAAGAGAGAAACAGAAGAAAGAAAAATGGCAGCAGAAGCAGAAGCAAAGGCAGAGGGAGAAGAGGAAAAGAACAAAGGAAAAAGGGCAAAAAAGCAGGAAAAAAAGTTTACTCCTTCTAAATAGTGAAATAATTGATAGTTGTTAGCTGATTAGTTCAGGGGGTTTTTTTAACAATGAAAAAACTTAATGTATGTGCATACATTAAGTTTAATGATGTAGTTAAACTTAGTTTAAAGTTTTTAGTTGTTTTTGGAATATTGATGTATGTGAATACATAAAGTAATTAAAAGGTTTATTTTTATGTTTTTTATGGGGTAACTTTTATGCAGAAAAGGGTAACTTTTATTTATAGAAAGGGTAACTTTTATTTATAGAAAGGGTAACTTTTAAGCAAGAAAAAGGTAGATTTTATTGTTAAAAATGGTAATTTTAGCAATGAAAAGGGTCACTTTTATGTAGAAAAAGGGTCACTTCTATTCATGAAAAGGGACACTTTTTTCTGTAAAATAAAAGGGTCAGGGGTTTTATGCATGAAAAGGATAACTTTTAGTGATAAAAAGGGTAACTTTTATTAACAGAAAGGGTAACTATTAGAAAAGAAAAGGTTGATTTAGTGGATAGAAAGGATAACTTTTATGCATGAAAAAGGTCACTTTCATGCATAAAAAGGTTTACTTTGTAGCATAAAAAGGGTTACTTTTGTGGGTAGAAATAATAAGTTTATACATGATAAGGTATACTTTTGTGGGTAGATAGTGTAACTTTTATGCATGGAAAGGGTAACTTTTATTGATAAAAGGGTTAACTTTTATTAACAGAAAGGGTAACTATTGCCAAAGAAAAGGTTGATTTAGTGGATAGAAAGGATAACTTTTATGCATGAAAAGGGTCACTTTTATGCATGAAAAGGGTCACTTTTATGCATGAAAAGGGTTACTTTTATACGTTAAAAGGGTAACATAAGTTGATGTGTTCCAATAATTAAACATGTGCTAATAAAAGTGTCAATCACATTTTCATTAAACTAGTCATAGAGTAAAAAAACAAAAGAAAAACAGTTTAACAATACAAGGTATATTAATTTCGAAAAAAAAATGTTCTAAAAAAAATCTTAAAAGAGTCGTAAGTTAGGTGTCTTTAATCTAAATTCTGAATTTGGAGGTGGCAGTGCTGGTTTTCTTTTTCTCTTTCTTTTTTCAAGTCCTCTTTTTGCTCTCTTGCTTCTTCCTTTTGTTACAGCCCTTTACGGATCAAGAATTATTGGTACACATGTGCTTGTACTCGATGCTGAAGAAGCGTCAGTATTGCTTTGAGTGTTGTCTGCCACATCAGGAATGTTAGAAGCAGCTTCTGCACTTTCTTTCTGAGCAGCACTAGCAAGTAAGTCTTCCACCATTTTAAGACTGTTTCTGAAGCTTTCTTCCATAAATGCTCTTGTCTCTTCATTTTCTTGACTTTTTAAGATTAGATTGTAGTATTTCCTCATCATTGTTTGCCTCCATGGAATATATTGCTGTTTAGGATCCTGATTCTTCAACCTATCCCATGCCTCTGTTTTTGCAAACTTAGTCTATCTTTTTGAAACATACTTGTCTGGTATTCTTGTTACTGAATGCAAATGTAGAATTCTGATGCAATGATAACATAACCATCCAGATGCTTCAAAGTTTTTGCAAGTACACCATACAGTTTGGCTCTCTTGTATATAGTTTACTTGATGTGCAGACCATGGCTTGTCTTCTAGTGTTACTTGATAAAGTAGGCATTCTTCATTACTGCCTAACATCTGAAAAGTTGTTGCCATAAAGTATCCAAACTCCTCTTCAAAATTTCTAAAAAGTGATAAAGTGAAAACCTGTACATCAAAATCATGTAGCTTCATTTAAATTGCCATATATTAGGTGTAATTTATGTACTTGTCAGTTAACTTTTTACCTGTGCGGCATGCTTTAGCATTCCAGATAGAGGCAATGAAGTGAATGCTATTGACTTGCTAAAGGTAAACTCATCATATTTCTCTGTGCTTCTCCAACGATTAGTTGTCTTCTTAAATATGGTATAAAATTCTGTCAAAGTAGTTGCTTTACTTGCTCTGAATCCTATGGCATGATTAGTGCTTTCACTACTTTGTGACGATAAGATCCCTGCTGAAAAGAAATCTCTACAAAGGGCAGGACACCATTTGTCTTTCAACTCATACACTCTTTTGTACCAAGAGTGTTTTGTCAACTCATATTTTTGCAACATTGCTTGCCACTTTGCTTCGAATTCTTGTTCTGTCACACACATCTTTAAGCACTGGTTGAATGCAAATTTGAATTCTTTGTCTTTTTTGAGAGCTCCAAATCTGGTTATGGCATTTTGCTCCAAATGCCATATACAAAGTCTATGTCTTGTATTAGGAATCACCTGCATTGAAAATAAAGGGGTCACTTTATGCTGTTAAAAGGGTTACTTTATGCACTAAAAAGGGTAACTTTATCCAGCTAAAAGGGTAACTTTATGTGAAAAAGGAAAACTTTATTGTCATAGCTCAAATCTGTAAGATGTCAATATAAATCTTTTACCTCTAGTATAGCATTTGCCATTTCTTGGTCCTGGTCAGTGAATATTGAAGTTGGTTTTCTATCCTCCATAGCTTTGAAGAAGGTTTGTAGTAACCACACAAATGAATCTGTCGTTTCATCCCCAATAAAAGCACAAGCAAACATACAATTATGCCAGTGGTTATTTATGCCAACAAATGGAGCACATATAAGATTATATCTGTTGGTTCTGTATGTTGTATCAAAGACAAGAACATCTCCATATATCCTATAGTCTTCTAGCATCATTGAATCTCTCCAAAAGATATTGCAAATTCTTCCTTCTTTGTCAAACTTCACTCTAAAAAAGAAGTTTGGATCCTCTGATTTTTCCTGACTTAAAATGTTCACTAAAGTTTGAGCATCTCCAGCCTCAATTTGTTCCATTCTTAACCTTGAGCAGAAATTCAGGTGATCTACAACACTATGGCCTATATTCTGTTCTCCTCCAGCCTCTGTAGCCATGTAATTGTAAGTGTCCATTGTAGTTAGACCTGAAGATTTCATTGTTTTGATTGTTACAACTTTTTCCTCTGTCATTTTTCTTTCAGAACGATGCAAATAATACCACTGTGGCTTTGTTAGCTCGTGGTTATGCTGAATAACATGAGCCACCACCTCAAACTGTCCTTCTTTATTCACTTTTTCTCTTATGCATGCCTTGCAATTTGATCTTGTAATGGATACTTGTCTTGGCTTTCTTGTTTTTACATTTACATCCTCTTCATCAACCATTTCAACTAACTTTGTTTCTTCTGACCTGAATGTCTCCTTCCCTCAGCAGAACACACATAATTTTTCTCAGTTACTATTTTTGTGTGTTGTTTGAATCTAGTTGTATGTTTTCTTATTGAAAACCCCAGTATAGCAGCATGTTTTTCATACAATTCCAAAATTTCTTCAAAATTTTCTCTTACGACACCAACAAATGATCCTCTAAGATCTAAACCATAAGCATCAATTGGATTTGTATCTGTTATTTAATACAAACAAATCAGATAATAACCACAGACAGCATAAAAAAAGGGTAACATTCGTTTGAAAATAGGGTAACTTTTATGCATGAAAAAGGTAACATTTAGGCATTGAAAGGGTTACTTTTTGCATACAATCTGAATTTTCAGCATACAATTTGAGTGTAACATTTGAGCATAAATAGGGTAACTTTTATGCATGAAAAAGGTAACATTTAGGCATTCAAAGGATTACTTTTTGCATACAATCTGAGTGTAACATTTGAGCATAAATAGGGTCACTTTTAAGCATGAAAAGGGTAACATTTAGGCATTCAAAGGGTTACTTTTTGCATGCAATCTAAAAAGTTCTGCATTCAATCTGAGGGTAACATTTAGGCATAAGTATGGTCACGTTTATGCATGAAAAGGGTAACAATTATGTATTCAAAGGGTTACTTTTTGCATACAATCTCAAAAATTCATAGAAATTACCTTCAGTTGCAGCTGATTTGGTTGTTTGTTCTGAATTTGAATCAATTGATTTATCAGGAACCACTTGATTTTCTGCATTGTGAATGGCGTCTTCTGCATTCTCAATTGCTTCATCTGCATTATCGATTGCTTCATCTGCATTGTCTGGATTGTTGAATATTGGTACGAATTCATCTCCAAAACAATTAGTTTCTTCTTCTTCTATAATCGATCGATTTAAATCGATTTCAAATTCAGTCTCAATTTGCCTCTGTTTTTGTAGCAATTCGTGAATGAGATTGCTGCAATTTGTTGTATCGAAAGTCGAATTCTCCATTGATGATCGAATTCTGCAATTTGTAAGTTTTCTCACTTTCTTTGTCCTTAATTGATGATCGAATTCTTCTATTTGTGCATTTTCTCACCTTTTTTCTCCTCGATTGATGATCGATTTCTGCAATTTTTGCGTTTTCTAACCTTTTTTCTCCTCGATTGATGATCGTTTTCTGCAATTTGTGCGATTTCTCACTTTCTCTCTCCTCAATGGATGATTGATAGCTGCGTTTTCTCACTTTCTCTCTCCTCCATTGTTGTTCTGCGTTTTTTTTATTTTTAGGTATTTGAAATTCTGCGATTTTTTATTTAAAAAAAAAGCACGTGCGAAAACCCGATGTACAATAAAAATACTGTACACCGGGTACATGCAAATGGGATTGTTAATATATATATAAGACAAGTGTTTGACTTCTCAAGTTGTTAATAACCTAGTTCTTTTCTCCAGATATTTAATGAGCTTAATTTTTTTTTTTAAACAAATCAATTCATTAATAAAAAGTCATCGGCATCTAAAAATGAAATCTAAATTAACAAATACATATAATTGAATCAAATAAGGATTTCCTTCATCAAAGTTACAATCATAAAATACATCTTGTACTGTGGTACACCTCTCGCATACATTGCTGGAATATACATCCATTTTAGAGAGGTGGTCTAACAATTTATTTCACCGTAAGGATGATTTTCATCAGATTTACTTGAACATATTTGAAAATTTGACAACTAATGTGATCCCGAACAAATCTTTACTAACGAACACATAATAAGGTTAAAGATGATTACCTTTTTGATAAACACTTGCACACAAAAAAACCCCGAAACAAAAACAAATAACTAAACTAACAAAAACTAACTCCGCCATAGAGAGACGGACAAACATCTACACTACATGTGTAGATTTATTAAAACCTAAATTGCAAAACTAAACAAAATTAATGGAAAAAAGGTCGCCTAAATGGCCAAAACTTTAGAGCACCCTAGATGAGAGAAAGAGAAGAGAGGAGAGGAGAGGAGTAGTAGATTTTATTGTTACTAAACTTAATTGTTTTAGGTAAATTTATATGTTTTTATTCAAATCAAATTATTATTGGTAAACTTAAATTGTATACGATGATTACTGATTAATATTTTATCTTTGTTGATTCCCCATTAATTTTATTTTATAAAGTTACTAATTTTTTCAAAACATAACTTATTTTTACTTATTCAAATATGTTGATAACTTGACTTTTCTTAAAATTAGGGCAGCTAACGCATGCGATGCGTGTGTCATAGCTAGCTATATCTAGAAGCTCTTTCGGTTTGGCCTTTAAAATCACATATTTAGTTGTTGGAAGAATTAATAAGAGAAAATATTTAAATAACTATGTTTAGGGGTATAATTGTCCAAGACAACTAACCTGTTAAAGAAGTAAATTTTTTCTTTTTGTTTAAGTGGTACGTGTCACCACGTGATTGGTTACAATGTTAAAAAAAGAAACTTATAAAATAAAATAAAACAACAGTAAAAAAACCCCACAACCAACGTTCCCACCGCACCACCTGCCGGCATCCCGGAAACACCAGCAGCCACGCATCTCCACACCTTGAACTCCCTTGCTCCTCGCCACTCACACCCACCAAACCAAACTCTCTTGCCATCACCGCCCAGCTACATACACCAACAACCACTACCTCTGCCACCCATCTAATCGCCACCGACATTGTTGCCCACACAACCCCAACGCAATAAGCATCAGCCAGTAACAAACACCATCGAACCACGCCAAGCAGCTAGCCTGAAAAACCAAATCAACGGCAACATCAAACACCAACTATCGCAGCATTGCCCGACGTCACCACCAATTCAAGGTAGCAACCCGCGAATTACAACAAAATCAGCCGCTCTTAACCGTCGCGCTCAGATCCCCCCTCCCCGCGATGGTGCTGGCTCCAGCGCTATTCCCTCCCCCTAACCCCTAAACTCCCACACTAAACCTCCTTTGCAAAAATTAACCTCCTTTGATCTATGCAATTTACCCTAAATTTCCCCCTAATTTTGCAGCAATTTCTGGATTAATTTCGTAGAATTATCAATGAAAGCTTTAATTGAGCTTTGCAACGTGATTGCGAAGAATCCAATGCAATTTAAGGAGAAACTTGGTTGGATTTGTTGTCGTTTTTTGCGAGGCTGCTACAAGGTGGTTGTAATTGATGTGTGTTTGTGGGCTAGTGCTAGTCGCGGTGGAGCTGGCTATGTACAAGGGTGATTGGGAGTCATGGCATCAACAGTAATAGGGGGTTCCGGGAGGGGGTCATGGTTGGTGGTGAAGAGATGGTGGTAGTGGGTGGCGCTGGGTTTGTTAATTAATTTTTTATAGGTTTTTCATTTTTCTAAGCTTTTTTCAACCAATTACGTGGTGACATGTGTCACCTTATCCTGTTATGGTGGGGTGACTGGTTAGGATCATTTTGAGCGAATGACCCCCAAAATTATCTAAAAATAATCTAAAGTTGGGATTATTTAAAGCGAATACGTAAAAGTTGGGAATATTTTTACCAATTTTTCCTAAATAAAATGAATATAATTGGGGTTATGGAAGAAGCAATTTCCAAAAATGTACTCTCTCCGTTTCGCATTAGTTGCAACAGTAGGCTTGGCTCATAGTTTAAGAAAATTATAGACTAGGCTTATAGGCTTATAATATAAAGTATTTTTAGTAAGAGATAGAAATAATAAGAAAAGTAGTGTGGGTGAGGTTGGTGAGGGTGCCCCCATTGATCTTCTTGATCAATTTAACAAACAAATCAAAATGGCTCATTTGTAAATAATGTGAACAGAAACCGTCCACATATCCACATATGTGAATGATGGCAATTACTCAGCAGCTGAGTAGGAGTGCCCTCATGTAACGGCTAGAGTGTTGAGCGTCACCGTCAAGTTTTAATATCATTGATTTGTCTTATTTATATCCACATATCATGTTCATCTGACCAAGTGAGGCAGCTAGTAGCTGAACACACACACAAAAACAGAGAGAGAAATGAGGTTTTTCATTTTTGGATTTTCTATGGCAGACTTCTGTAATTTGCCCATTGCCGGAAATTGCACCGTTGGATCATCCTCAAATTTGACAGCTTGTTCCTGACATCTACAACTTCATTTTTGGTTGGTCGGATCGTCAATTTGAGCTCTGGTTTGGTTGTAGTCGTCTCTGGACAGTTTTGCTGTTTTGGGTGATTTTTCTCCACTTTGTTTCTTCAACTGTATCATTATTATACAATTGGCTTAAATAAAACATAGCAAATCAATTATAACTTGTTCATGACTAATGGATAATATAACTCAAAATCTGAATTTGAGTTCATAATTTGGGTACTATCAATACATGAATTTAAAAAACAAAATAATTAAATACATAAAAGGGAAGTAGTTGCATTGATGAGAAGGTGCATTGATGAGCAGAATTGAAGAGGAAATCACGGCAACAAAAAAAACGTAACGGCAATTTGTTCAAGAAACACGTAGGCGGTGAGATGTGGCATACCAGCCCCGTCATCAGTAATGGTATTACACAAATACCCCAGGTTTAATGATGGGAAAGACTCTATTGCCCTGTTAATTGACAAAATAAATTGATCAAGAAGATCAACTTGTATTTTGCGGGGGTTGGTAGGAAAGAGAAATAATTAAATATTTGTGAAAATGGGGTTAGTGGGAGAGACAAATTATAAAATAATGGTGGGTCTTTTCCAAATATAGTAGTGTTGCAACTAATATGAAACAGCCGGAAATAAAAAGTGTTGCAACTAATGCGAAACGGAGGGAGTAATGAAGTTGATCAAACCAATTTTTTTTTTCTTATGTGGAAGAAAGCAAGCTCATTTTTTTTTTTTTTTTTTTTTTTTTTTTTGAGGAAGAAACGGGGTCACGGGGTGTGTTAGAAGATGCTTAGTCAATCTGTTAACGTGCTAGTGTCTACATTTCTCTTTAATAAAATTATTAGTTTATAACTTTTTAGTATTAGTGACTGAATTAAGTCAGTAGGTTAGTGGAGTAAATCATGAGGCATATGTATCCACCGAGTATTAGTAATGAGATTAATAAGACACTTGTTGGCTAATGTTAAGCTTGTTACTTTGTTAGTTTTTTCTTTAGCTTATGTAAAGTCATGTAAGATGTAAGTTGTTATTTGTTAAAGTGAATTGATTACATCATGTATGTTTTTCTTTCCACAATCTTATCTCATAATAATTTCAAAAGCTATATAGCCATGTTTCTGTGATCTTAGAGAGATAAAAGTCCTAATTGTTAGTCAAAAGATTTGTAAAAAAATGGTTCGAATAATTTCAATTTTATGCAATTCATTTTTAATAATCTTAACTTTTAATTATTCTTTAATAATTCGAATTTTGAGAGATAATTTGTTTTCTTTGGTCTCAGACAACTGATGGTGGGTTAATTTTTTTATTTTTTCCCTCATTGACAAGTTGACAACAACCACCAGCCTTTGACCGCACCAACATCATTGAGACCACCTCTACGATGATTTTTGATGATGGTGTAAGGGGAAGGAGGAGACTTGTTTTGGTGGTGGAGAAAGAAGAGAGGGTGGTTGTCGAGGGTGGCCTAGAGAGGGGAATAGTGGGGCGTAGTTTTTTGTGGAGTGGGAAGGGAGTGGAGTGGTTTGCGGGGGTGGGAGAGGGGAACTGAGTGGAGTGGTTTTCGGGGGTGAGGGAGGGCCGAAGGGGAGTCAGGTGGTTTGGGCTGGAGGGTAAGGTGGTCGGTGGTGGAGGTTTTTTTTTTGAAAAAAAAAACGAAACAAAAAAATAAAAATCTAGTCACTTAGGCATTGATACGTGGCAAGGGACCCAATTCAATATGTGCTAGGCCAACAAAAGCGAATATCACTTAAAGTTTGGATTATTAAAAATATAGGTACATCAAAGCTTATGGGAGGCGAAAATTTGAGTGTATGTTACCTATATTATTATACTTCCTTCGTTTTCTATTATTTGTCATACATACACCCTCACGACACACACTTTAAGGAAAAAATTTAATAAATTTAACAGACAATTAATTAAAATAATTTATACACATCATACTTATCCCTTTTTTATTCCCGACATTATAATTATTTTGATAAATTCGTTCATGTACTCATTTTAATAACCTCTTAAAAATGTGGGCCTTGAAGCTGTATTGCAAATACAAAAACTAAGAAAGTATATTATACAAGTGTGTTGCATTATTATATCGCTGATAAGGTATATATTGGATATTGCATTCCTCGCCTTCTTATCCAAAAAAAAAAAAAATGAAAATTCTATATGGTGGCCTCTTGGAATAAAAAAAATTCTATTTAGTAGACAAGGCTTTTTTTTAGTACGAGTTTAGTATAGTGGCACTTTAGATTTATATAATTAAATATATCGACCTTTTTTTTTTGCTAACCATTAGTTTTTAACTATACAAATTAAACTAACTAACCCCCTTCCCAGCCACTAAACCCGCCACCCTCACTGTCGCTAGCAACGCACACCATCGCCACTACCCCCTCCTTAGCCTTACCCCTTCTCAAGGTCCGACCTAGCCTTACCCCACTGACAGCCCTGACCAAACCCTACCCCATCGCCAGCCCAATCACGAAAACCACCCCCTCCTTTCCCTAGCCACCACTATTCAAAACCTGAAACCCTAGACACCACCCTTGAAACCTTAACCCAGCCACCGTACGAAATTCAAAACCCTAGCTACCACACTTTAAACCCAACCACCACCCTCGAAACCCTAACCTAGCCGGTGTATGAAACCTAAATCATAGATCGAAACCTTGAGCGGGTTTAGTTTAGGGTGGTTTAGGGTTAGGGGGCAGCGTTTCTTGGTAGGGGAAGGGGAAGGGGGTCGATTTGGGGTGGTGGACAAGAGAGGGGGGTCGTTTCATGGTGGTGGACGAGGAAGGTAGGTCGTGTCATGGTGGGGTGTCGGGCTAGAAAATGAGGGGATTGGAGTGTCGTGGGGGTGGGGGGTAAGGTTGCCGGCGTGGGGGAGGGGGTGGTGCTCTACTTGAAGAGGATGGGTTAGTTAGTTTAATATAACTAAGCTTAACCATTATAATCAATAAAAGTTAACCATAAAGTAACAAAAAAGGACATTATAATTAATCATGTAAAAGTACAGTGCCACTTAAGAGAAAACAAAAAAACATTGTTTGCCATATAGAATTTTTAGTTCTTGGAGGTCACCATGTAGAATTTCCCCCCCAAAAAAAAAATTACCTAGCTTATTCGAAAGTTTGTGATGTGGTTGCAATTGTGAATTACTCTGTAATAAGTTGTTTAATTTGTAAGAATATTACTTGTTAAATCACTTAAATAGTGTAGTCCTGTATTGTGTTTCTTTAGGAGAAAAAAGATGGTTAGATGGCTAACAATGATAGCAATGCTAGAAATGCTCTCAATGAAATAGTGAGACAGTTACCGTTGAAGCTAAATAGTTAGCTAGGAATGGGGGTATACAATACTAATTTCATTGGGGTTGATGTATGCATTTTATATCATGTTTTATCCCGGTTTTATAGGGTAATTTGCATAGTTTTGGGCTCTACGGAGCCATTTCTCGCTAACAATCTCTTCTCTAGTGTGTTCGATCTATTTGATTAGGTCTCACAGGAATACGGAGGTTTTTAGATGAATCAGACTCGTTTTGGTTGGTCAATTGAGAGGTTGTTGAGTGAAAGAAGAAGATTTCCCCAATGCCCTATCGGGCACCCCATGCCCTAGCAGCTAGGGCGAAGAAAGAGCAAGCTAACTACGGAGAATCATCATAAGTCCCACATGCCCGACCGGGCATGCCAGGACAGACCGGGCTGTGAGGTGTGCATTGCAGAAAGAGTTTCATCTTAAGTTGTGTTGCGCGCCCGACCGGGCACTTAAGGCCATGGCTGACCGGGCAGAAGAAGAATCAAAGAAGAAGGAAGTTTTACCTCGTCCGCCTGATCGGGCAGGCTTCGCCCAGGCAGACCGGGTACTGTTGCGCGAAGACCGTCTTTAATTAATTTCGGATTTCTATCCTTTTAAGGGATATAAATACTCATTGTAATCACATTTAGAAGACAACTTTTGTTTTCCTACTTTTAGAATTTCCTTAAAACCCTAGTTTTCTCTCCTTACGTAGTTTAATTTCTATTCCTTAGTTTTGGATTATTGTTCACCAACAATTCAAGTTCTTTTGATTGAAGCAATTGGTATTTATCTATACTCTTTACTTTTACTTTTCAGTGCTCATTAATTATGTTTTCTTCATTGAATCTTGTTTTTGTTTTCGTTAGTATGTGTGAGTAGATTTTTAATCCAGGATCTTGCAAAGCCGGAATATGATTGATACATGAATTGAATCTTCAAATTCTCCAATAATAATCCCAATTGACATGATTAATTGATTGTGTTTATGCCAATGCTAGATTAGGAATAATTAGTATTGTTATCATCCCCTTGTGCTTATCACAACGGAAGTTGGGTATTAACGGGATTTGGGTATTTCAATTAAGGGTTTGAAGTTTATCACGGAAGTAGGTGATTGGATGATTAGGAAGTTAAGTATTGTGTTTAATGTCCCTTATTTGCTTGATTTCATGGAAATAGGCTTGATAGTTGATTTGGGAAGCCATTGATAACTCGGAAGTGACCTTTGGTATTGTCTAGGGAATGTTTTTCCTCTTGTCAATCGATTTGTTATTGGGGTAGATTTATTAATGCATCGATTATATTCGTGGTAATGCTTGATCTTGGATGTTTTAGTTCATTGATTTATCATTTTCTTTGGATTAATTGTGCTATTTAGTATTCTAGTTATTAATATTCTTCATCATTGAATTGGTCACTTGCTTAGTGATTGCTTGAGTCTAATTAATTAGGTGAACCTTAGTCTCTTGGGATTCGACCCTTACTTGCCCGACTACATAGTTAGGAGGAATAATTAGGTTTATTTTTGTTAGATCCGCGACACGCCTATCAGGGGTTATGTTTAAGAAGATGTTTCAATGTAAACTAAATAAACACTTACTCTTTCACAAATAAATTTTATTAAGTTAATTTTCTTACGTGTTGGTCCAACTTTTGGTTATGGCTGTTAGTTGAATGTCAAGCTCGAACTTGCATTGGTAGGATTAAATTCAAGGGAAAGTGTTAAAAGCAACAAATCGTGATGGATGTACAACATTGAGCTGAGGAGTACTAAAAAAAAAACAGCAAGGACTCTATATTACTTGACAAAGGAGAGTACATTTAGACGACATGCTTATTAACATTACATGTATATATGGAATCTCATTCTATAAATAGAAGCTAGTATTTCTTGCATGCATGTCAATCACAACATAAAATCTACTTAGTTGTTGATTTCTTCTTTTGGTGGGTGACGACCGCCATATCCACCGTGCCCGTACCCACCGTGTCCATAGCCACCTTGGCCGTAGCCACCCCTAGAACCACCATACCCACCTTGACCATATCCACCCCTAGAGCCACCATATCCACCCCTCGAACCACCATATCCACCTTGGCCGTATCCTCCACGACCATACCCACCTTGGCCGTAACCACCACGACCATAACCCTCTGGCTCTACATCCTCTTGTACAACCATCTCTTCTTCTTCTGGTGGGTAGTGGCCACCATGTCCACCATGTCCATAGCCACCACCGTGGCCGTATCCTCCATGGCCATATCCCCCATGTCCATAACCACCATGTCCTTGTCCGTAACCACCGTGACCGTATCCGTCTAGCTCCTTTGGCTCTTCAGTGGATTCTGCAAACACCAAAAGCAAAACAAAAATACTTGTACTTTAAGCATCTCTCTCAAGAGTATTAAACTTTCAAGTTTCAACTAGGGCTAGGGAAAATCCAAGTGAAGCCTCCCGTAGTCCCGTTTGCTCTAGACTCTAGTTGATATGGACTGGTTGTAATCTAAAGACCTTTATTTTCATTTTTATTTCAATTTGAAGCTATCTATTAAACAAATTTATAGTTTATGGGAATTCAAAACATTACATTTTAACTGGTTTACAAAAACATTTAAGTGATGCATTTATTGCATTATTATTACTATTATTATTATTATTATTATTATTATTTTCCAGTGATACCTCCTAAAAAATACTTACAGTATTAATTTATTAATATATTTTAAAGTAGAACTTACGAGTGGTTTCAGTAGAGGTGGATTCTGTAAGTTGACGAGTCGAGACAACAGAGGAAACAAAGAGAAAAAAAGAAAGAAGCCCAAGAATGAGAAAAGCCTTAGAGTAGGCCATTTTCATAAATGCTTGCTCACAAGTAAAATTAACACTCAATGATAATGTATAAGAAGCTAAAGTTGTTACTTGCTTGAAGAGTTGCTTTGATATGATAAGTGAGCTAAGTTGATCTCTATTTATAGGCATGTGATCATGTAAAGACAAAAATAAAGGGGGACAATAGTAGGTGAAATAATGTTGACAATTGGTGTAAAATGGCCAAAAGTAGCTATAATAACCATGTTTCATCTGTGATCTTAGGGAGACAAAAAGTCAGAATTGCTAGTCAAAAGGTGCGTTACAAAAAAAAAAAAAAAAAAAAAAAAAAAAAAAAAAAGTAGGTTAAATTAAAGCTTATGGGAAGCGGAAAATAGATTGAATTTTATCCATTATTGATTTTGTAATAATACTACATGCATGTTACTTCTTACTTCGTAATTCGTATGAATCGTATCTATTAGAAATGCGTGGCGTTATCTAAGACATACCAAACAGTTGATAATTGAGTAGCTAGCTACTGAGGTTAAGTGTGGGGTGTTGAGTCTGAACTCGAGACCATAATGATTAATGACAATCATATTCACGACTTAACATTTTGATATTGTACTGATTAAAAGCTTATGAAAACAGATAGATGTAAAATTAATTGCTCTAATTTACTTTTCATTCATATTGAGAAATATGGAAATGAAGTAAGATCTATCTATAAGAATCATTAGCGAGTCCCAATTTCACCTTAATGAATTGACAAAAAGGGTTTTGGATTATGCAACTCATTCTTATCCTTGAGCCTTGACAATATATATCTTGAAACAAATATACTAGCTAATAGATACCTATAGCCATATTGGCAATTCGAGAATAAGTACTAAAGTGGATTTGGGCTCATATCAGGTTGGGTTGTAAACGATTTAAAATGGTTTGGTTAATCAAATAATGTGGTGGGTCTTGTTGAAACGAATTCATTTGGCTGGCGGGTGGATTTCATCAACTAAGTGAATTGAATTAGAGGGTCGGAATTAATTCAATTAATTTTCGGTTGGATTTGTAATTGAATCAGGTCATATTCAGTTTTAGTTAACATAATAGGGATGTAAAAGTCGATATTGATTTCGTAGAAAGCTGAGCCTTAAACAAGTATGTATTTGGTTTAAAAAATCGGGTTTCAAGTACTTCGATACTTGCTGAGTCGGGGGTCGATTACAAAGAGTTTACGATTTGGCAAAATTTTGATAATGTCATAAATACGCTATTAACCTGCGACGTGCTTTATTCTTACTCATTTGACCCCTTGAAAAGGTGACCCTCCTAAAGACCTTAAGGCTTGATGTGCTACTAACTTATACAGTTATACTTTGTATCAACCTCGACTTGACCCGCACAATGTCCAAGCCTACACACATATTGAAGCCGAACTCCTTAGCAAGTTGTAGCCCTTAAAATAGCTTAAGCTGCAGCCAGCCAGCCACCTTAGCATCCCCCATTGATTGGTTGATAACATGTTTTATTCCAAGTTTCCAACATGCTAAAACAAGCCAGAGAGAAAGCATTGGGCCAGAGTGTATATGGCCTAATATTGTGTGGGCTTGACGCTATTATTTTAGCCCATCAACCCATTTGGGCCGAAGAATGGGCATTTTAGATTTTTAGCCATGACGATTAAAGAAAAACACAATTTTACTACCCACTCAGTCCCTCCAATCTGATATATGTAGTACCTAGACCTGTTCAATGGGTCGGATCCGGGCTGGGCCGGGCGGGTATAGGGTCAATGCAAACCTAAAATGGACTGTGTAATGGCTGGCTTGGCCCGGCCCAGCCCGGCCCGTTTACAACTTGGGGAAGCAATAAAAGCTAAAAAATGGGCTTCTTAAATTGTTATTTAAAAAATGAAAAAAAAAAACACATAAATGGGCCTTAATCAGAATCCTTTCAATACAAGTTGTGATATTCATTTCTCAAACAATGGGAGAGAGAATTGCCAAAAATACAATACGAGAGAGAAAGCACTCAAAGAAATAATGAACACATCTATGGCCGACTATATGATGACGACGACGGCGATAACGAGCCTTTTCTCACTCCTTCATACTCTTTCGTTGTTATTTTCCTATCTCTTCCTCTAGTATTTTTTTTTTTTTTTTGTATTTTCCAACTCTAAGTTCAAAATAGTGAGTTGAAAACTTCAATGTCTTCAACCTATTCGTCTAAAGATTCATAAAAAATAGTGATGATGAAATTTGCAAAGTAATTTTGTAGATATGTAAGTTTTTAGAATTTTCCTTTTTTTTTTAATAAATCATTTCGAAATTCAAATTGATATTTTAATTGTGGTGGATGAAAGACAATAGAGGATGATGAGAGGAAGTGTTCAAGGTTAAAGGATTATGAAACATTAATCAGTGACCCTTTAAGAGCCCGCCCGTTACTAGCTCGTATAAATACAACCTGTTAAAAGCCTGACCCATTTAAATGTTGGATGGACAAAACTCTTTTATAAAAGGACTGGGTCAGGGCTTTAAATGGGCCACTAACCCATTAAACAAGTCTAGTACTACCCCTAGCTTATTTTACTTAATTAGCCAACTAGAAAAATATATATACTACAGAGTATGTATTATTTTATGTTTTTTTTGGTGGATTGTTCTCTCGTAAACATCTACAATATGGAATATTTATTGTTTATCTCCTCTGTTATGATCCTTACTTTTATTTTTGTGTGTTCCCCTCCTAAGTACACGGTTACACGAAAATTTATGAGTGTTTTTCTCAGTGGCGAATCCGGGAATATAGGGATGGGGCGGGGTATGGATTTCGACGGTTAAAAAAATGCGAAACTTAGACGAGTTAAAATTTGTACGTATTATTTATTTTTTTCACCATCTTATTAGTCATTGAATTTATCCCTTAGGCTTTACTCCTTAAATGCCCATAACTAAACCAAACAAATAAAATTAATACAAAATACAAAGTAAAATTATAAAAACTCTTACACTCACATTTTAATAAACTTGTAAAGTCAAAATTTTAAAATAATTTAAGTGAACGATTGCATACATACACTAAAAAGTACTTGTATAATTTAAAGTATAACCAATTGCACTTAATTTAATACCTTGTCACAATCTAATATGCAAATAATTAAAACTTGAAATTTTTATTCAAAGGAAAAAAAAATAAAAAAAAAGTATATTGATGAACATGCAAAGTTTATAACTAATAATGCGTAAACTCTTATTATTCTATAATGAGAAATTATTAGACAATCATAGAATATTAACAATAATTCGCTGCCCTTGAGCATAAATTTCATCATTGAAGTTTCTAGGAACTCCCTCCTCCATTAATGATTTTTTCACGAAACAACACTGTAAACTTTTGTTTTCCCTATTATAACTTATCTATAGCTAAATGTGTAAATTGACTATTATACCCTTATATAAACATATTTTGTTTAATTTATCTAATATATCAACTTGTATTTTCTTTAGTTTTAATTATATATGCCCAAATCTGTGAGAAGTTGATAACACTTATTTGAAGATTGAGGGAGAAAGCCTATGAGTATTACAATAGCATCCATTTCAAACCTTTGACCTCTTCATTCGTGACACAATTTAAATTGCCATAACTACCCTCCCCAATTTAATTATATTGTTGTACTTGTACCTACCAAAATCGTTATCTAATTTTGTTCTTGACTCACAAGTCTTATCTTCAACTTTTTCGGATTTCCTCTAAATTAACCAATTCAATTTCAAGCTTATTTCACTTGCACTTCATTCTTCTAATGTGTATTCTTCTTCTTTGGTTAACAAGCTAAGACTTCTCTAAACACTTATCATCTCCGTTTTTTTGAATATTACTAACACTTTTTGTAATCTTTTGATGCAAAAAGTTTTAAACACGCAATTTCTTAAAATTTAATTATTGAATAACTCCTTTTACTATCTTACTAATCTCATCCGAGAATATTTACAAATTTCACTCACAATTTCTTACTTTATCCATTTTTCCATGCACCCACCTATCTTTACATACACACAAAGTACACTCTTTCTCTCTCACTTTTACCACCTTATTCTTACTCTTACTAACCACATCCAAAACACACTCTCTCTTATTATTGAAATTTATTGGATATGAGGATAATACTGAAAGCTATAAATGAAAGTTATATTAAAAATAAATAAATAAATAAATATGCTTACAAGATTTCAGGGTTAAGGGTTTGAAACCTTGTGGTCAAAAGTTTTAAAAATAACTTTTGTGACCAATTACAATGCTTGGAAAAGCGAATTTATTGGCGAATATTAAAAATTACAAACTTATTGCTGCGTCATTATATCGCATATAGATAATTAGCTTTGTTATGCTTATTAGCTTTGTAAATAATAATTAGATAAATATTATTTTAAAATTAAAAAAATTAATTATCAACTAATTTAGTTAAATCATTAGAGCAAAAAGTAGCTTGAATTATTATAGCTTGAGAAAATAAAATGACATACTAAGCTATTAAATAGATTAGCCAACTATTAGAATTACTGTTTCATTTTAATCTAACAAGAGACGTACTTTTCTCTCCTATCTACCTATATCTTCATAATCAGCAAATTACTTCGAGTAGGGTACTTTCTACTTCACGTGCTGGCCTGGAGAGTTTTGGAATTTAGTTCAACAACTCCTAAAAACGACATGTGACACTAGAATTGTCCATCAAGTCTATAACTAAATACAAAACAAACTCTAATCTAAATTCACTTTTAACATTATTTACAAGATCTAGCTTGATTAAATAATGTTAGTTATAATTATGATAAAGAATGAATTTATTTTTTTAAATTTATCTAAATGTATGTTTTCACAATATCAATTTTGTTTCAATATAATTTTAACATATTACTCCCCTATCTTTAATTTTTTGTCAATTTTGACTATTCACAATTCCAAAGATAAAACAAAAACATCTTCAACTGTATAAATGTAAAAACTTATAAAATAAATTAATACTTATAAAGTAGACGTTTTAACGAATCTATGAAGATCTCAATTAACTATATTATTTATCATAGATTAGCAAGGACTTTTTAACAAAGTTTCCAATATTTCCAATAAAAACAA